GTAACAAAAATAAAACCAATAAGCTAGTAAAATACCGAACGCTATTCTTCAAATAGCCTTCCAGTTGATAAAAACTTCCTCTGAAAGATGAACCTGTTAACTTTCCTTCAATCATAATGACAAAAGTAATCCTGGGAAGAAAAGGATAAAGTTAATAATAGGTAGCCACATAAAGCCAAGTATTTCTAAAGATTAAATTAAATTTTTCTCCTCTGAGGAATTAATTTTATTAAATTAGACATTATTTGCGCATATAATAACTTAATTGGCTGATAAATGAATATTCCGCCCCCTCCCCCCCCTCCCCTCCCCGATTCGATCTGTTATAATTCAGGTAAGAATTTGTGACACAAATAGATACACTTTCAGAGGAGCTGCTAGTTTTCAGGTTTTATGGCGATGCCAGTTCCTTTCCCAGTGAAAGTTAACAAGGGTCACTGCCAGTAACGTGTGTGTGTTAATCTGCATTTCCTAAGTTGGCTAAATTTCAGTAAACCCTGTGGAACAGAGATTTTTTCATTGATGTTTTTAAAAGCTACTTGCTGTAAAATGTTATTCTGAGCTCCTTATCTTACAGTTTGCAATATTTTAAAATATCCCTGGTAATATGTTGCATTTACCTTCCTCTATTACATTTTATTGTTTGGGGTGCGGCGGGGGAGTGGTATGGAGGCTTGGCAGAAGTGAGACTTTTCTAGAATTTGAAAACTGATTCCCTCATTCCCAAATTTTTAATTATAAAATGCCACTTTTTGATGAGGGCTGATGGTGAAGTATGAAGTCTTTCTTCTGGGAACATTATGAATCATAAATAATTTGGTGCCCCCAAATCTATCTCTGTCAACATCCAAGTATTAGGATCATTAGCATCTGTGATCCTACAATCTGAAGTCTTGGCACGTTCTCAGCAGATAACAGAGTAATTCTTAAATCTCTTCAAGTAAGACTCGGTTATGGGCAAAGTCACTACTTTGTAAGGAAAAAGAGCATGATCCCACATAAACTAAATCTAGGAAAAACTGTAATAGAAGGTCTCTGAATTGATGAGTCAGGCTTGATCTCCTTTTTTCCATTCAGCTGAACAAGTAGATGTTGAATTATCTCACTTGGCTACCTGAATCCAAGATAGAAACTGATTAGTGTGCTGTGGTTAAGGTTTTTTTACTATCCTGAGCTGATTTGCATGAGACATTTTTTTCTTAATCAACTGCTTCTATTTGTTTCGTTGTAATCCAAAGGCCTCTGGATCTTGACTGGTATGTCTTCATTTTCCTGGTGGCTAACTTCAGTCATGAGGAATAAGAAATCAAGATCTCTTGACTTAACCTGCCTTTTAAGAATGACGTAAGACTGCAAAACTGTCTTGGGACTCATCTACGAGGACCTTTTAAGTTTGATCAGAATGGTCCTTTGTCCTACAGCTGGAACCCCAGTTTTGGAGGAGGGAGCAAAGTGATGAAAGAGGTATAAATAGAAAGGGAAAGAACTAAAACAGGTTGTTTTGTAGCTCATTTTGAGCTGAGAATAGACAAAGGCCTCTGGTGCTGGTAAAAAGCAATGAATAAACTTTGTCCCAAGGATTTGAGACCCATTTTGAACAGATCCTTGGACTGCTTTGCTAGTTATTGCATGCAATCTGATAAGCACATCATTGGTTTTCCAAGCTTGTTCTCTTAACTGTTTTTTAATTGATACAATCAGTACTAAATTTTCGTGTACCTCTTCTTGTAGTTTTTGCATATGGTTTTCATTTACTGCTTTTTATATGAAGCCGTTCATTTCAGTATTTTGTTGGCCTCCTCAATAAGTTCAGATGAATTGGAGAAGCATAGGTTTTCCTGGTTATGCTAGTTTGTCCTCACCATATTCTGTGAGGACAATATTCAGATAGATATTCATAGCTCTACCTTGAATTACATTTTTTTTATATTGAAATAGTAATGTATTAGGAATAGTCACTCTTCACATTTACTGCTCTTGTCTTTAGAAGTAGGTACCATACTGCCTATCTTGCAGTTGTAACTAATTTTAATAAATTACATATTTTGTGTTAGCAATTCTGCTACTTAACATTTAACTTTCTGCAGGTTTTTCAGTTCATAATATCATATGGTTATTGGTAACTGATGGTCATTTAAATCAAGTGTGATTCACTCTGTCTTTGATGCCGTCATATTTTGCAAGTAACGAATATGAGAGAATGTTAAAGTACAGATTGCCATTATTGTTCCTTTTGCATTAAATCTGATGACTGCGTACCCAGGACCTATGCTTTAAGAGTTTTTAATGTTATCAAATGTAATGTTTTCACTTTATTTTAATTGAAGCTAATCGAACCTTTTGGATCAGACTGTTAGGTCTCAGATCAGACACCGGGACAGGAAGGTCTAGGGAAACAACCACAGACAGGTAGTTACAGTCTCCAAAAAATTTGACTCAGGTGATTTAATTCATACAAAGATAGACACAGGCAAGGGTGGAGTTCAGTTCTTCAGAGAATGATATTAATTGTTACCTTAATCATTTATTGCCTGTATTCCACCAGATGAAGTAGGACAGTTGCAAAAACCTGCAGAGCATGAAACAGCTGATCCCCAGAGTGAGACATCCTTAATGCTGAGTCAGGAACAGAGAGTATTTCCTTTGGAAAATGTACTGTGTGGTCATGTAAATAATGACTGTACCATACATACAACAGGTCAAGAATAAGTTCCACAGACCACTTAGTTGTATTTTTTTCATATACTATTTTGTAATTTTTTTTTTTATATATCTATCTCTCTCCTTAATTATTTAGGATTGTTGCCTTTGAAATTTCTAAAGGAAAAGAAAAAAACCAAACTTGAGGGTGGGGGAAACTGGTAGCATTTGGATGCCTCTGTGGTTAACACCAAGCTTGGGAATTTTTAGAGCTGCTGTGTGAACTTCTGCCCTTAAGTTAATGAGAAACTTGTACTAGTAGGTTATCTGTTTTTGTAAGGACCAGCACTTGAGGGGGAGGAGATGTATACTTTGCTTTCAGAGACATTGATGGTGGAAGGGGAATGGTGAGGGACAGGAATCTTGGGTTTCATTGCAGGCTACGAAGAGGAGCGTGTGGTAGTGGACACTTGTACTTCTGCCTGTTTTGTGTTCCACCCTCAGCTTGACTCTTCCTTCACTATCCCTTTTAGCCTGTCTTCCTCCTGCCCTAAATCCTTACCAGTTTTCATTCTATTTTGCTTCCATTCTGCCTATAAAAGCAAGCCTGTATAGCTCTTTAGAAAGGGCTATGCAGTGTTCCCATTTCATAGACCTTACTGCATAAACGATACTTGCTGTGGCACCATTGAAAAGCATAGACAGAACATTAGGTTATGTGATGGCGCACAGTGTTTGCGTTTTTCCTTCCTTGATCTGATTTGTGCACGAAGTATTTTCACCAGCTTGATCAGTTCTTAACTGGAGAGTGTTTGAAATTTGTAAAAAGTTACAGCTGAAAATTCAGTAGTTTTGCAACAGCTGCGTGGATAGACTGCCTTTCTAAAGTTATTCTAATTATATAGGTAGAATATATTTCAGCAGTTTCATTTTAGCAGAATTACAAGGAAACTAACTGTGCTTATGTAAATGGCTGTGCAAATACAATAATACCCTAGATCACTTGCACCGTTTTTGTTATGTGTGATGCAGTCAGCTTGCATTTTAAGTATTCCTTATCTGTTCAGCTTTATATAAATAGCAGCTATTTCAAAGAGGTGCTGTCTATGGCAAGTGAAGTTAAAACATTTGGAGGCAGAAAGTGCCCTGGCTTGATACTTAATTAGTGTGGAGCAAAGTACTCCATAGTTTTGAGATGAGACTGCAGAAAGTACTAGTTTCTGTGGAAGCATCAGAAAGCCTTGATTCGTAGACAGTACTGTATTGTCAACACGGTGCTGGTTCAGTAGCATCTCTCTGCACACGTTTGGCAAATATTTAAAGGCCACATTTTGTGTAATTGGCTTAGCCTTTGAAAATTATTAACTTCTTTGTGTTAAAAGATGTACACAGCAATGCAAGATTTTATCTTGACAATCTCATGCTTTTGTCTTCTACCAGCAAGGATGTATTTGTGGATTGTTCTTTTTAGCTCCTCAAAGGGTAGTATATTAAATGCTTTGTAATCACTTTTGTACTGATGAGGAATGGGAAAGCATTTAATTGCCACGGCTTTGTAAAGCTGGATTATACAGGAGCTGTGGCAGACAAGATTTTGTTAGCCAGGAAAGTAAATGGAACTTCTCATATCAAGTTATTTAAAAGTAGGTGTTTCTATTTGGCTTTAGTCTTTTTGTATGTCGTGAAATCTGAGCAGAGCTAATACATCCTTTCTGGACTATCCAGCTAATCTGCAAATAAGGCTGTGCAAAACACAGAATAAATGTTATTGACAGCTATTCTCTGTATTATCATTTTGTAATCTTTTTGCTAATTAGCTTCCTTCCTTTTTTTTTGTTAGCATATCATAGTTATTTACATTAATGGAAAAGTTGAATAGGCATTGTTAATACCTAATTGCAACGAAGGATGTACAACTTGTAAATGGTAAATTCTTTAAAGCGTTCATAAAGACAATTTGGAGTCCTGATCTGGCTCCTCTATAGTTTCTACAGGAAATATATGCTGTATTTGTCCTTCAGCTGAGGAAATTAGCTCCCTACTTGTGCTTTGTAAAACTGTCCACTAACCCAACTAAAAAAGTATCGCTAATTAGTTCATAAGGAAAAAATTGTACTTAGGTGTGGAATCCAAATGTAAGAATATTTTTTCGGAAGGCAAACCAACAATATCTAGAAAACTCTTCACCACCATATAACACAACTCTGCATTTTTGAGGTGATGATCAACAAGATTTAAAAGCATGTTTGTTAGAAATATTAATTCTGTGTAGTAATTACTTTGATAGTTTCAGTTACGAAAAAAGCTATATATGAAATGATTAATGCTTTTATCTCCCTTTTTCTCTGTTCTAGGCTTAAAAGAAGCATAAACAATTGGATTAGAGCTCTGACATTTTGGACCACAAGTGATGTTAAAACAATTTGAATGTATTGGAGCATAGCTACTTCTTAAAATGCAAAAGTTCAAGGAAATTATTGCTTATCAAAACCTGCTGAGTATCTGAATTTTCTAGACATCCTGCATTTAAATGTGTCCTTAAATATCCATGATTAAGATCTCATGCAACCATTGTATATTTTGGAGACTATTCTCCAAAAGAGAACTGTGCATTTAAGAAGCAGAAATGACTGTGTTTTCTCTTGGAACTTACTAAGGTTGAACATACTGAAAGACCATGACCAGCTTGAAGCGGTCCCAGACCGAAAGGGCTGTTGCCACTGGGGTATCAGTCGGAACAGATGGCACCTCAAAAGTCCACTCGGATGACTTTTATATGAGGCGCTTTAGGTCACAGAATGGCAGCTTAGGATCTGCAGTCATGGCGCCAGTTGGACCTCCTCGCAATGAAAGTTCCCATCATGTTACCTCTACCCCTGGAGTCCCTAAAATGGGGGTCAGGGCAAGGATTGCTGATTGGCCCCCGAGGAAGGAGAACATCAAGGAAACAAGCAGATCTAGTCAAGACATTGACACATCAAGTTGCCTTGACAGCATGTCTTCTAAAAGCAGCCCTGGGAGTCAGGGAAGCTCTGTTAACCTGAATGCTAGCGATTCTGTCATGTTAAAGAGCATCCAGAGCACCCTTAAAAACAAGACCAGACAATCTGACAATCTAGACTCCAGGTTTCTTACACCTGATGGCTATCCCAGTTCCCCAAGGAAAGCTCTTCGCAGAATAAGACAGCGCAGCAACAGCGACATTACCATAAGTGAACTTGATGTTGATAGTTTTGATGAATGTATTTCACCCACTTTTAAATCTGGACCATCCCTGCACAGGGAGTATGGCAGCACATCTTCCATAGATAAGCAGGGAACTTCAGGGGAAAGTTTTTTTGACTTACTGAAGGGCTATAAAGATGAAAAGTCTGATCAGAGAAGCCCAGCCACAGCTAAGCTCAGTGAACTCCTGATTGCTAGTGGAAGCAAGGGTTCAGGATTCTCTCTAGATGTGATAGATGGACCTATTACTCAAAGGGAAAACCTGAGACTCTTTAAGGAAAGGGAGAAGCCACTCAAGAGACGGTCAAAATCAGAGACAGGAGATTCATCCATTTTTCGTAAGCTGCGCAATGCCAAAGGTGAAGGGGAGCTTGGGAAGTCTTCAGATCTTGAAGATAACAGGTCAGAAGATAGCGTCAAGCCTTGGACTTGTCCGAAATGTTTCGCTCATTATGATGTACAGAGTATTTTATTTGATTTAAATGAAGCGGCAATCAACAGGCATAATGTTATTAAAAGAAGGAACACAACCACAGGTGCATCTGCTGCTGCTGTGGCATCACTTGTCTCTGGACCCTTGTCCCATTCTGCAAGTTTCAATTCTCCAATGGGCAGCACTGAAGACCTGAATTCAAAAGGAAGTCTCAATATGGACCAGGGGGATGATAAAAGCAATGAACTTGTGATGAGTTGTCCTTATTTTCGTAATGAGATTGGTGGGGAAGGGGAGAGGAAGATCAGCCTTTCCAAATCTAATTCAGGTTCCTTCAGTGGATGTGAAAGTGCCTCATTTGAGTCGACTCTGAGTTCTCATTGCACGAATGCTGGAGTAGCAGTTCTGGAAGTTCCCAAGGAGAATCTGATTTTACATCTAGACAGAGTGAAAAGATACATCGTTGAACATGTAGACCTTGGTGCATATTATTATCGAAAATTCTTCTATCAGAAAGGTAGGTAAATTTTATTTCTTGTGTTTTATTAAAGATTTTTTGTTTTATCAACTTACAAAATCCAGCTATGTATAATAGTATTTGCAAGAATTACGTATTTTTTAATCATCAGTGCTTAAACATGGTGTATTTTACCAATCAGTACATGCTATGTCTGATAGAGTTTTTCACAGTGTTGGAGTAAGAAAGTGTTGATGATTTTAGTACTGATACACATAAGTTAGCAATGGCTACAAATGATAAATGTCTTGAAGCACAGCTTTGGTATCCACGGGAGTGGGCAGGGGTCGGCACTTGAAAGATTAAAAAAGAAAATAAAATCCTAAAGTATGAGAACTTTCTTCCCTCCACATCAAGACTTGATGTACTGAGGATTTAATGGAATGTGCAGCTTGGAAAGTTAGCATTTACAATAATCTTTGGACATTTTAATATCTTAATCATCCATTTCAAAACATGGGGGGGGGGTGTTAATTTATTTTAAGTCAATAATATCATATAAATAAAGATAAAAATCTGTCTTCCTCACTCACTATTTTCATTATAGCCATCATTCTAGAAAGAAAATTCTAATTTGTCAGATTCTGCAGAAACTATGACTGTATGTACATAACTATATACATACACACACGTTGCAATGACAACAATGTATCTGGAAAAACAGAGTACAATTCTCTTATCACATGGTTCTACTGAAACCAAGGATTATAATTTCCATTGGAGGTATGCAGGGGGGGGAAAAAAAACTCAGATCAAAACTTCTTGACCTATAGTAACAAACAAAACCGAAACATCGCCCAGATACTCCCCTCACCAAAATGATGCTGGCACCGTGAGATGCAGATCTCGCTGTCTGTTCTTCCTGATTCTGAAAATGATCAAAAAGGAGTGCAGACCAAAGTCCTTTAAAGTTTAAGAGAGTTCTATCTGCAGGATTGTGTGCCTTGCTATGGTATCTCCTGATGGATAAAATTGGTCTGATGACTGACCTGAAGAGTGCTTGTTCCTTAGCTACCAGTGATCAGGATTGGGTTTCACGTCTTTAGTGAAAGCAGCTCAAGAGAGCTTGTTTCCTGCAGATTAAAGCAACAGGGATGCCTGGTTAAAATAAGTGGATGGTCAGTTCAAAAAAACCTTCAACTTGTTAACTGTGTGTTACAGCTAATAATTTCATCTCCCATTTTTCCCTTGCTTCGAAATACATTCATCTCTCTCCTCTTCTTCCCTGCATTGTCCCTTGGTTGGGTGGCTCTTGTCACTTACCATAGTCTCCTCTTTCTACGGTTGAGATGCAGCCTTTGCTGCATGGGTTTTGAGAGTACTGATCCACATCCTTTGAAGAGAAAGGAGTGTGGAAAAATACTGGTTTCCTGAGAACAGTAAGCCAGATGCACAACAGAGGTATGTTTGGAGGGGAGAGCCTGAGGTTAGAGAACTTTGCCTGCGATTACCTTCCTATCTGTCTCCCTCTGGAACAATTTGATTCCTTATCACTCTGGTGAGTTTTGCAATCAGCAACTAAAGGTGTAGTTTCATGTTACAGCTGACCTGATTTAACAGCATTTCAGCATTAAAAGGGAAGACTTTATTCCTCCCCCTTCCTTGTACCAGTTCTCTTGTTTTCTGAAAACTTGATAAGCCCGTTGAGTTTACTAACCAAGCAGAAATCTTGCCATCACACTAAATTTGCTCTTTATTGCTTGGTTATTTCTCTCCAGTTTTAGTGAGTCAAATCAGCTTTCCTTGCAGTCAAACAAGTGCCAAAGCCTAGTGCCAGCTAAGCAATGAGATTGAACAGCAGAAGAGGAAGGAGGTATGAGTGGGATTTCAGCCCTTAGGCAACAGCAATTTATTAGTTTCGCTTATCCTTGAGGGAAACCACACCCTCATGCTACTACAATGCCAGTCACAATTATATGTCCATTTCTTTCTAGTCGTAATTAAGATGAATTAGATAAAATCGGCATAACCTAGTCCTAAGGGTATTGGTGAGGGGTAACCAGATACGGAAGTGTCAGTGTGTATATGGAGTGGGTTTAGAGGGAGAAAAGAAGCTGTGATTTTTTCCTTAAGCCCCAAAACTGGATTTTAAATTCACTGTGCTCATGTTCAGTCCAGCAGGCACGAGCCAGCGGTGTTGTTCTTACCAGACATTTTTGTCTGAAAAGAGGTGTACTTCAGAAGCCTCATCAGATATGCCCAAACCCCACAGTTCTACAAGTACTAAACGCATTTTTTTGACCACCCAGCATATTGTCTTTCCCCAAGCAAACTTTAGACTAATCTAGAAGAGATGGGATGGTGTTAAAACTTAAAGCAGCATAATAGGGAAAAATATCAAGGAAATAAATTGTAACTGAAAGTCTTTACAATATGAAGCAAGTAATGGTGCAGAAACTTCCTTGTTTGAAGAGGAGGTTGGATGTTATGAATGGAATAGATGGTGACAAAAGACAGTTTCAGTGGAATCAGCTAGTCAAGTCAGCAGGCCTTGGGTAATTTTATAGTCTTAAAAGTACAAAGCAAGGGATTCTGATTCAGCAACGATAACTTTTAAAGATCTCAAACCGGAAAATGTCACAGAATTGGAGAACTACTGAAGTAATCCTAGAGCTTGAAAAGAATAAAAAGCAATGACCCAGACAATTGTAATCCTTTAGTTTGTTTTCATTCCAACTTGAAATAACAAAGCGGGTAATTTAGGACTATATCAACAAAGAACTGCTAGTTAAAAATCACTAATGATGCCAGTCGGCATGATTTAATGAAAAGTAGGTCTTGCAACAAAAGAAAAACCCACACTGTTAATCTTTTGTGTCTTAGGAAAAAAAGAAAAAGAATGAAAGCCATTGCATTGATATAGTCCATTTTAATTTCTCCAAGGTAATTTGGTGAGATGCTGATGGTGACTTGCCTGAAATCTTTAATTATATGGAAGTAATAGCTCATTCTTTACAGGTATTGTTACTTGGATGATAGATGCATCCAAATTTTAGCAGTGTACGGGGGAGGTATCAGTGAGCTGGAGTATTACGAACATTACTAAAATAAAATATCTTAATCTAGCTAGTGTAAAATATTTGCATGTGACATTTATGCATGAGTCTTGTATAAGTTCATCCATGAACATAAATGGATGAGCATTTGTATGTAAAGGAAATACTAAGGTGAAATCAACATGTTATTTGACCCTTTACAGAGCAGTGGTAAAACTATTGATAAATAATATTCTGTCCTGGTGTCCAGACTTCTAAATGTGAAAATATCGGTGGAGACGTTTTAGTGGAGGTTAGAAAAATGGTACAGATATTGGGAAAAGAACTTTTTAACGGTAGTTCCCAAGGTTGGATTCAGCTCCTCTACTTTTTATCTGAGCTAACTGTGTGGACTCCCTTTGTACTCAGCAGAGAGAAACGAGCCTTGCAGGATGGTAAGAATTGCAGTCTTGCTTCCCTCAATTCACTGCGGAAGGCTCATACACAACTAACTCACATGGAGATGTTTATACTTCCAGCAGATAGAATGCTACTTTTATATTGCAAAAGATGTATTTGCAAGATGACTATTTAAACTTGTATTCAAAAGGTGTATTTGATAGGGGGGACTTTTAATTAGAAGTCTTAAGTGTAGACATGTATAAGCACTAAGATATGTGATAATGCTAGTGCTAAAAAAAGAGGGGGGGGAAGCCAGCATAAGAAGAAATTTTTGAAAGTTGCACAAATATGACCTTGAAATAAGATGAAGCTTTGAACAAAAAGGATGACTATACATGGGAAAAACTTACTAAAGGAAGTTGTTCATTGTTTGGATTTTACATGGCAGTCATGGTTTTTTGTATGACATTTTCTCTTCTTCTCTTAACTTCAATGCCTGAAAAGACAATTTCTGACCTGTTTGAGTTAAGGTAACAGGGTCTCTTCCGACATCTCTGTTTCTTAATCTGATAGAGTCCCTTCTTTTAAGAAGCCTTTTTATTGGAGGGGTTTGCAGTTTGTATAGATGTAGTAGGTAGCTGGACAGAGTAAGGCTGGCTTCAGTTCAGTATCGGCATGTGTTCTCACTTGTGCCATAATGTATATGTGCTTTCAGCTCTTGCTGCTTAGTGTGCAGATTGCATAGTGTGCAAGGGCAACTATGTAATCTGGACCCCCTGGAGTGAGATCAGAATACAGGCTGAAATACACAAATGAGACCATTAATAACAATAAAAATGCTTCAAAGTGTACTGGGCAAAATTTTTAAAACTCTGTGATTATTGAAATAAAGGATTTTCTTTCTGAACATGGTGCTTTTAGAATTAATCAGAAGGAAAACAGATTGGACTTGTTTGGGTTTTTTTCTTTTCTACACAGTGGCACCAAATGTAAGGGTGTGGGGAGGGAAGGGAAGATTTCAAAAAGCTACCTGGCAATTGTTTTGGGGCTACTTTCTGGACTATTTTTTCCTTGTAGAACATTCTAACATTTTTGTTTGTCCTATGATTGTGATGAGTATAAAACCTTGCAATTAATCTTCTAAGAAAATACATGTTAAGACAGCTGATGAGCTTCAGTTTTGATTAAAAGTATATTTTTTGACAGAAAGGAGGAACAAGTTGTTCAGGCCTTCTTACTGAAATGTAAGAAAAGATGTCTTTTTATGTGAGAAAGTGAGATTCTTACTTAAATACATAACTTTCAACCCCCCATAATTCATTTTGTACTATTGGCTGCAGTGCTTCAGTTTGTTTAAAAAAAAAAAGTCATCTTGGGTCAACCCAAAACTTCTAGTCTTATCTTCTGGCAAAGGCCAGCAACAGATACTGAAGGAAGAGTAAGAATAGGGCAAAGGCATAGCGATACTTTCCAGGTGTACTTTGCCAGCCTCTGGAGATGTGTAGATAATGGACTTCTTAACCTGGTGATAGTATCATTTGTATTTAATAGTCTTTGGACTTATCTTCCAGGCATTTATCCAGTTGTCTGTTACCCTGAATAAACTTTTAGCATTCACAGTATTCCTGCAGCAGCAAGGAGTTCTGCAGCTTGACTACATTGGTCATAAAAGAGCCAATTTTTACTGGCTTTGTCTACTGGCTTCCAAAATGAAAACTAGGGTCATCCGATTAAACAGTCTCACTGCTAGGTGAAAAAGTTTGGTTTTCTCACCTTTCCTTGCTATGTGTTATGTTATAAACCTCAGCCATATTATTCCCCTCAATCATGTTTTGTTGCCCTTCTCTGAACCTTTTTCAGTTGAGATCAGGGCACAGTATTTATGACAGAAGCAAACCACAGAGTTATGCAGTATCGTAATGTTTTCTCTTTAGAAATTCCGAATGTCTGGCTGTAACTTATCATCGAGACTTCAATTTCTTTCCCATACATGGGTAAAAGCTTTGCGTATGTATTCTGCATGAAGTCGTATAAATGTTTGTACATTTAGGTAACGGGTTAATTATTAGCAATAAAGTATTTTTCAACGAGAGCCATGCTTATTAGCCTATATAGCTTGATATTAAAGACTTATTTATTATCAATAATAAAACCATAGGGATAGAAACATTTGTTTCCATCAGCTTGTCTAAGTGCTGCTTAGAAAAGAGAGCATATCGCTCCAGAGGAGCAGTCTATCCTCTCTGTCCCCCAAGTTGTGTCTGGGAATTACCATTCTCGTGGAAAGAACCAAGAGCATCCGTTTAGCTTCAGTCATCATCAGGCAGTACTCGCTAACATTGTTACCATTTAGGACAAATTTGAGTTGCTGTCTTAGAATGAAAGACTTAACTGAGAAGTAAATAGTTTCCTGAGCTGGTTTTATAACAAATGAGCTGTTGGTCAGCTTTCCTTTAACTGTTGGCAGCCAGTGAAAAACCCCTTTGCTCTGATGCTTTAAATTGCTGCATATTCTATCCCCAAATCGGTACCTTTCAAGTATGTGGCTAGACTTACAGAAAATTTACAGTTAACAGTCTACTCATGAGCAACAGTCTGAAGACATTACAGAACTGTGCTCTAAAAATGCTGCCCTCTTGTTTTCAGAAAACTGCTGGGCAGAGTTGTCCAGTGCTGTAAATGCTGCGGTGGGATTAGAGGAAAATGCTTGATGCAGAGTTTCATTCTGAAGCGATACATTTGGGATTTTTACTTCTAGTCTGATTACACAAAATACATTAATTGAACATGATATCCAAAGGTAAACAGGATAAATGCACAAAAGAACCTCCTCGCTCAAAATCAAGTGGATTTACCTGGATTTCCTTTGCAAGGGAAACTCGTAAATATCTGCCAGGAAAATGAGTATTTTCACTTATGTTCTTTCACTGGAAGTATCTTTTGAATTACATGATAAATATTTAACTATTTTTAAAAGTATGTATAATCTATTTTAATGAGCAGGTACAAGCAATTAATTATTTCTTTTTGGCATGGATTTATAAATTGATTTATGGCTGTTGTTAGTTGTCTCCTGAATGTCTTTTAATTAAATAATTTTTCAACCGTAGTTTAAATGAAATAATGTCAAGCTCGAGGAGTGTTGCTTTCAATGAGGTTCTGTATGGGGTGGAGGAAAAAGCTGTTTTCTATGCTATTCATGCTTGGCGTAAAATTCTTGAATTATAGTTGTGAAGTAGCCCTTGTTTTTACAATAAAACTCCTAATTAACTACCTTTAGATTGGATATTAAGCTTTGTGCACTTAAATTCTGCTACTGCTTTTCCTGTTACAGGAAAGAGAATATAGTTGGATGCAAGGAAGTTCAGGACGTAGTGGAAAATCAGGTGGAGATGGAAGATACTCTGTACCACAGGGAAAAATAGTCAGATATGAGGGTATATACTGTAGCTTGCAGAATGAATACAGAGGCGGGGTAGAGGAGGAGCAAGAGAATAAAGATGAAGGTAAAGAATGAACGACCCTCTAGTAAATGTGAATAGAGGAGAAGACAATGTGAATTCAGAAGAGAGGACTGAGGAGATGCATGGGAGAGTGAGAAAGACAACTGCCCAGTGTAGAGAGGAGAGAAAGAGGGTAAAAGACATTTCCTATTAGCAGAGGAGTATAAAATTCCACACTTACTTGTGCATTTTTCCAAATAAATAGGAGCTAGATAAAAAGCTTAATCAAATGGTACAGAATTGTGTGTGTATTCTCATGGAGCTTCAAACATTCCTCTTACCAGCCTTCCTAAATGTGTTTTCAAGATGTAGAATAATTTCTCCTGAGAAAACTCTATCTGAATTGCAGGCTAGACTGGTTACAAGATATACAAATTTTACCATCTGTGCAGTTGTCAGTACAGAAAACTAACGTAATTTTTGGACCCTTCTAGTATATATTACCAACATATATTTTTCTTTAAAATTTTCTATTGGATAAGCAAAAGTACATCAATGTTTTTAAGTCACTAAGCAGTTTCGTGTGGAGGTGGCCAAGCTATCTCAGGTTTTGGAAGCTGCATAATATGCTGATAGAAAATTGATCTCACGTTCTCAATGATTCTGCTTCTTCTGCATTGACCATCTCTGCCATAAATTGTTTGGTGAGCTATAAGCATCCTGAAAAAAGCAAGTTACTTAATGGGGGAAGAAGAAAAGCTAGGGTGCTAATAAGATGGTTTGGGTTTTTAAATTACAGAGATCTCTGTGGCATTTACAGGGCTCGTATCAGTCGAGTAGTATAAAGATTTAATTAGGCTTACGTGGATGGTCTAATTTATTCATAATTTTCCCACTTGTGACTAATTCAGTCACCCAAAACTTACGCCAATATTTACAGGATATTCCACAAGATACTAAAAGAATTTTGAATCTTAATTACCTCTGTGCAGAGTATTGGCTTTTGATGACTTGCAGAGGAATTTGGTAGAAAGCAAGCTTTATGATGCTGTGAGCGTGTTTCTTTTATGTCTTGCATGCTCTGAAATCTTAAATGAAAAACATTGAGGAAAGGTCATAAAATACCAGACACTGGGGAATAGAATAGAGCCCCCAAGGGCTTAAAGGGGTCAACAGCTGTGTGAAGACAAAGGTGTAATTCTAGGGCACACGTAAGTTCATAAGGAGAGAGTACCTACTTGAAAAGCATTTAGTGTGTTGGAGAAAAGTATAGCAAGAACCAGTAAGTATAATTTTAAAAAGAAATAGAATAAAAAATGAGGCACTCAAATTTTTAACACCACAAGTGATTATTCATTGGAAAAATGACTGGCATGCACTTTAGATGGACTGTATTTCAGTATCTTTTTTAGTATCTTTAAAGATGCAGTTCTTGATGATACTAAAATATTTTGCATTTTACCTGTATAGCAGAATAGCTCATATTAGACTGCTCTTAAAGTTCTTGTTTTAAAGTTCTTGTTGTTTTAAGAATAACAAGTAGTCTGTATATAAGTAGTTCAGACAGTGTGGTTACGTTTTCTTTCAGGGCAGTTACATCTTTTTTTCATTCCACTGAATTTCACCTTTCTTCTTTGAATTATTGGATTTTCAGATAGCTCTAACTTCTTATTTTTGTGTTTAAATTCAGCTGTTGTCGAGATACGTGCAACTTTGTTTATATGTTGCTGCATTCATGGTGATGTACCTTTCATCAGTCAAGATAGTTCATAATGCTCAGAAGGCTCAATAGAAGAGCCTTCAACACCAATCTGTTAAATCGTTGAGCTTTAATTTTTGTAAATGCATTTTTCTAATATTTTCACGTAAAGCTTGGCTTTACATGTGTATAGTTAAACAAATATAAAAATGTATCTCATATAATCTACTGTTCAGCTAGTGAGCAATTTCTCCAGCCCTGTATTCTCCTCTGTGACACCTTCCCAACTAGGGTAGTTTTAGACTCAACTCTTGGCACTTTAAATTTACTATTAGGGTTGTTGGAACTTCACTGTTAAATGTTAATGCTAGTCACTTTGTTTATTGCGCTTTATGCTATTTTTCTATGGTACTATGCTTTGATTTTTTTACTATGAACAAGCCTTTAACTTCTTTTTCAGCTTCATCAGCTTTTCCCCTTTTTTTAACTGAGTAACTTGTTTGACTGTTTTTTGCTTTTTCTATACAAAAATAAATAAGTTACACCCTTTGCTAAGTACAATTGTTTGCCGCTCCCATTTTAACAGAGAGTGGTGAGTTTCTCACTTGGCTTCCTGGTTTTTGTTTTAAGGGGGGGAAATTAGCTGAGCTTACTTAGCTCAATGTGAATGAAACAGATTTCGATGTAAGAGCCAATGTAAGAAGTGTATTCTGTTTTAGGCCTGTTTAAGCAGAGATGCAATGTTGAATTTCAGCCTTCTTGTATAAACAGAGCTCATTAGAGAACTGAAGCACAAGAATGAAATTCTGGTACCACTGAAGACATACTTTTATTGACTCTAGTGGAGCTGGGAATTTATTTCCAATGTAACAACTAAGCATGAAAATATAGTCAAAGTGTAAGAAGAAAGACAGACTTTTATATGTGTGTTCTATGTTTGTTTTTTTATATGCAAGAACACTGGAACTATTTTGGGGCAGATGAGAACCTGGGTCCAGTAGCTGTTAGTATAAGAAGAGAGAAGCCAGAAGAAATCAAAGAAAATGGACCTCAATACAACTACCGGATCATATTTAGAACCAGTGAGGTAAGCAGTTTAGGAATGATAGTAAAAGAAGCTAGAAGTAAGCAGGCAAAACCAGGTGGTATGTGTGGGGTTTGTGTGCTTTTCAGCATTGATAATAGGTTTCTGTCTCCTCTACATACGTATAATCCAGGAATCTCCTGACAAAGTTATGCCGCATGTTTATATTATACAGAAACAAGTAAGTGTATCAGTGAGTGAGTTATTCCATAACATGCAATACAGAGGAAACTGTGAAGGTTGTTTTGATTAAAACTTGAGAAACTTACAGGAGCTATATTAGCTAGAAGCAAGCAAAGAGGAAGAAAATTACTTCCTCAACTTTTATATGTGACAGTGGGTAGACCTGAGAAGCGTACTTTTTATACTTTGAAATGCTCTACTAGAAATACTACTACTAATCTTTTCCAAGTCTTACTTTCCTGTAAAACTTATATCTGTTGGATCATTTGAAATATTCTGACTACTGTTAGCTGTCAGTGAGTGACATTTGGCGTATCGGTGTCTGTTTCATGCAACATAAGTTACTTAATGTCCTCAATCTCTATTGAGAATTGGAAAAATAGTATGTTTTGCTCCGCTGCTATTGCTAATCAACCTTTTCTCAGTGCATAATTCAATATATAAGCTATTTTTGTTTTGTATGCTTAGCTTATGACATTAAGAGGCTCTGTGCTGGAAGATGCTATCCCTTCAACTGCAAAGCATTGCACAGCCAGGGGACTTCCTCTAAAAGAAGTGCTGGAGTACGTGGTTCCTGAGCTGAATATCCATTGCCTAAGGCTGGCCTTCAACACTCCGAAAGTCACAGAACAGCTTATGAAGCTGGATGAACAAGGGGTAAGGGCAGAGTTATAGAATGAGACAAATTGTCTTAAACAGTCAGATTACTGCCATGAACTGCAAAATTACCTTTTAGCTTTAAGTGATTATAGTCTGTCTATTAAAATGCCTGATTTAAACTAAAGCTTGTCATCTGTAGGGAGAGTTATGTTGCATGTTTTTCCCCCGAGTTTTGCAGAATATTTGGTATGTATGAAATCAAGTTCATTGCTCTAAGTAGTCTAAAGTTTTAGATTAATGTTATTGTAATTGTCCATTTTAATTTACTTTAAAAGAGACTGAGTGGTTGTTTTTCAAAGATTGTGGGGAGGAGGGAGTTCTGTTCTGGTTTTCCGATTGCTATTATAATGAGAATAGAAATCTCCCATGTTACTAAATGTTTTGTTGTAATGTTGTATTGGCACAACTATTAGCAGGGTGTTGCCTGTCTCTTTTTCCTTCCTCCCCCCGCCCCCCAACCTACATGGCAAAATATTCTAAGCCTCTTCTTCATACAAGTGGTTTTCAATGAGGTGATAGTCCCCATGTCTCTTAAAGATGGAACCGGGGCTCGTTAGCTGTATAGCTTAGACTTAGCAAAATGGAAGTCCATGAGTAAAATTAATTTTATGATTAAAAACTTCGACAGTGACATTTAACCGCTCTGAGTACTGAGATTGTCTCTTTCTCCTGGTCGTTTTTGCTTCTCATGATCAGCCTTTCCTGCACAGAATTAACATCTATGTTATTATTTCTTCTTGCTGTCAGTCTAACATTGCCATCATAAAATTGAAAAAGGTCTGATGTTTATCTGCCCCACAAGGGAGAGAATATAGCTATTCTAAACAGGTTTATAAGTGACTATCATGAAGATTTTTGTCAGCCTCCTTGTTGTTTGGTTATTAAAATGGACAAGATAGAGAATCCCCAAATTAATACCTACCAGAAGCAAAACTTGAGCAAAACGCTTTGTCCTCTAGTTAGTTTCAGAACATCATCTATCTCACTAAGAACACGGTACAAAAGGATGAAGAAATGGGTAGCTGTGGCTATCGCAGAGCATCCAGACTAACACGGGAGTGGTTATGTGTGGTCAGCCCAAGGTAGGTGCAGCCCAGTATTGTCACTGACCATGACCAACTGTGGGTGCCTGGCTAAGAATGAGAACAGGGCGAGCGTGGCGTGATACTTTCCTAGCTCCTGATAGCTTGTAGGCTTTTGTAGGGCTCTCTATACTACTCCTCTGCTTTACCAGTTTGATGAGTCCTAGTTTAGTTAGTCATTTCTTATGTAGAAGTTGTTCTGTGCCTCTGGTCATGATTTTGCCTCTGGAGTTTTTCCAGTTCCCTCGTCCTCTCCCACATCTATTTTAAAACAGTGCAGTTTTGAAAATGGGGAAAAATTTTGGTGTAGTATGCTTCCTTATCTTTTCCCTCTCTAATAATTACTGATATTTTGTTTGCTTTGTGGCTACTACTGAACACTGAAAGTATTTTTTTCATGAACACCTAAGATCCTGTTCCTTAGGGGTATAAGTCAGAGCTCACTGCTGTATATACTAAGTTGGGCATCTTTGTACCACATGGATCACTTCAAGCTTTACTTGCACTGAGGTTCATCTGCCATTCTTTTGCCCAGTTATCCACTATCATAAGTTCCTTTGGTAGCTCTCATAGCCAGTCTTCAACTCCAATACTGTAGAGTAATAACTCAGTAATGTTAGCAAACTTAGTTACCTTACTATTCATCACCTCTATCAGATTGCTAAAGTGTGTGCTGAATACTGTATGTCCAAGTTCAGATCCCTGCCTTACCCTACTGATCATTTTCTTCAGCTCCTTGTCTTTTAGCCAGTTGCATGTCTAAGTGAGTTCCTTTTTCTGTACTCTTGCTATTTTGGGGTTTTAAGACTTTTTGAAAAAAAAGCTTTGTTAAATGTGTGTTGGAAATTCAAGTATACTCTGTATCAGCTGTATCTCCTGCATGTGCTTATTGGCTCCTGCAGAGGACAACACTGCGATGAGGCAGCGAACACGTAAGGTTGAGGGGAGATGGGTTTATCGTATAGCCTGCTAAAAGAAAGACGGAATCTTTAGATGCTTACACTGCTCAGTATAACTGGTTTTTTTCACATGAAGAGATCCTAATAAGTTGGAGGCCTGAGTGTTTTCCTTAGACAATTAGAGCAGTGATTCCAAATATGCACATACTGAGTGTTTATGATTTATTACCTGAGCCTAAACCTAATCTGCCCTTCATCCAGAATCAAGTTTGTCAGGCACCTGAAGACTCAAGATTATCTTTCAATCTCTTTCCAAAGTTTTCTGTTTCAGCAGTGGAGAAAATGGAATTTAATTCAACATGACTCCATAAGCGAGCCTTTGGATCCAAGGATCAGTACCTTCCAGATATGCCCATCAAGAACCTACAATCTCTATATAGAGTTGATGGGAAAATTTTCACAAAGAAAAAAAAATCTAGCCGAAAGTTCTATTTAAAAAAATCAAATTCCAAGATTATTTCTAGTAAATACCTAATTTAAAAGTAAGTTAGCATAATTTGCTTCAGAAGTCAGTTATGTCTAAAAAACTGTGAGATTAAATTATCCTTATTTCATATCTTGTATGTCATTAAACTCCCAGAATATGGTGTATAGTATGGTTTTCTCTTATTACTTAAACTTTTGAAAATCATTAAGGACAAGTGATAGTTAAAATTGTATTATCTACATCAAAGTATTTTCTCTTTTTGTGGTAATGAAACAGTTTGACACTTCTAACAGAAAAAGATAAGCACACTCTGTACTAATTAGAAGCTGCATTTTTTATCAATTCCAAGCTAACAGAAAAATTTGGGTAACAGCTGCTCTACTAATTAGGTACACAATGTTTATCACTACTTCTTGCTGAGTGTTGCACTGTTTCATTACAGCACAAACAGGTGCCTGTTTGATATAGCAAATAAGATGTTTTGTAAACTTCAGAGTTAATACTATAAAGTGACCTAAGCCTGACTTAGCCATTAAATTTCACCCAGTAACCCCTTCATTGAGCCAAATTCGCGTGCACCAGTTTTGATTAAGATAGGCTATCTTTTTTTATAATTGAGTGAGGTTTTAAAGCGGTTGGTTGTTTTCATATTTAAGAATTTGCAGTTCTTTATTTGAATTTATCTGCTTTCGGCTTCCAGACTTCTGATATCTTTCTCTGCTACATCGTAAGAGTAATTTTGGTGTAAGATTGTTTTCCAGCAAAGGTTTTTGTATGCAGTGATTAAATCATCTGTTGGTCTTATGATAAACTAAACAGATTGCACTTTTCAAGTCTTTCACTGCAACATATTTGCTCTGAATTTCGTATCACTTTTATGGCTGAGCATCTGCATATGACATCCAGTGTCAGAATGGGAATATTCTTCTTGCCCCAATTTTGTACTGCTGGTGTATGTCAAGTTGTATCTTCCTTACTTTCCCTTAGATTGCTAGAGTCATGGTAACATCTGCTGTTCTGTACATATGGCCCACATTGCTTGTCACCTAGCTGTTCTTTTATTGGCTTTATTAAAATGCATTCATTTGAATGGTTCTGTGTTAAAAAGCAATCAAATCGTTCCATAGGGCTGCGCTAGCTTCCTGGCTAATTACCATCTACTAATCTTTGCCTGAATGCAGAGTTCATGGTAACTTACTTTAGGTTTACTTCCAAATATGATTTAAAAATTTGAATATCAGGGCAATTACTGATTTATTCCAGTAGAACTTTATCTTTATGCCAATTTCTCATTCACAGAAATACTGTGAAATGTCAGTCAGTTTTTAATATAATTCCGATTTTATAATACAAATTTGCTGACTGGTTAAATCCAAGATATGCTTTCTGCTGTCTTTCACTAGGTGCTAGACAAATACTTGAAGTGCACTTTTCCCACATATATAAATATGTAAATACTTTCAGATTATTAAAATGAAGCTGCTACTTTAGGAGTTTTACCACAGCGGAATTCATCCTTCAACTCCTTTTTTAGCTTTTACTTGGAGTTAATATACTTCTAAGGACTCTAGATGTATCAGAAGGAGGTGTAGTAATGGGGACTGCCTGCCTTTCTTCCCCCAGATCCGCTTTTTTTGATTCAGAAATACCAGCTTGTGTTGGCCTTATGAAATTTTTTTTTTTAAGTTTAGCAAATCTAAGAACAGCTAGAAGGCATATCCTGCTCTTTGCATAGTCCTTATTTAGTTTCTTAGGCTGATATTTTCAAAGCAATAAAGGACAGTTGTTTGGTTGCTTGTGGATGCTGCAGATCCCATTTACGTTTATGCCCTTCTTTCACCTGAAATTGAAGCTTAAATAGTGTAGGTGTGCTTGAGAATGGTGTTCTTTGTCCTAACTTGTTTAAGTAAAATTACTAGAAACTATTTTAATTAGCAGTGCAGCTAAGGCATTGTGGTCCTCTGAAACAATTCCATCATCATATTTCCTCGGGAGTGGACAGAGAATATATCTGAGCAGCAAATGTTGCCTGAACAGTCCAAGACAGGACCTGCTACTGATGATACGGAAAGTAATGGCAGTTGTTCTGGCAGGAGTGGCAGCAGTGCCACCGCTCACCTCGTCTTTCCTCCTTTCCCACATCAGCAGTAGCTGCTCCAGGTTCTCTGTGAGAGCACATAGTCCTGTCAGCGAAGGCACTAAATTTGGCTGCTGTGAGGCAATAAGCTTGCAGTGAGTGGGATCATGTAGTGCGCTAGCTAAGCAGCGATCATAAAAATGTACCCACAAACCTCATCTAGCTCCCGTGATTCCTGAGAAAATTTAAATCTTAATCAAACAGTCGTCATACAGAATGTTTGGTTTTTGTTTTTTTTTTTAAAAGAAAAAAAAAAGGCATGTGCCATCCATCTGTATCTGGATTGTTTTGAGCGTTGTGTACTCTGATGGTTGGTTTGAGTTTTTGTATTTTTTTTAGTGAATGGGGAGTTGAAGTAAATAATCGTAATAATAAATTGTAACATTAATTTGCATGTGCTTGGTATTTGATTTACCAATAAATATCTTTGCTTCAGGTCTTAATACTTCAGTGCTCAAAATATGCAGTCTTCATTCTTAAAGGTGAATGGTTTTGGTTGGGTCTCTAGTGCTGAAAGAGCGTATTTCCCTTCTAGTTACACAGAAAGCATTTCAAATAGTTAACAATGAGAGAAAAGGAAATAGAAACATTACCTCAAAGCACAAAATAGATATTTCTTTTTTTTTTTTCCCCCTTTCAGTTGCAATTTTGGAAGTTGGCCTGTGAATGTTTCTTACGTAAGAAATAGATTGAGATGAGGACAGGCTGACAGAGTTTGGGTTGTTTAGCCTAGAGAAGAGAAGGCTCCGGGGCGACCTTATAGCAGCCTTCCAGTACTTAAAAGGGGCCTACAGGAAAGATGGGGAAGGACTCTCTATCAGGGAGTGTAGTGATAGGATGAGGGGTAAGAGTTTCAAACAGAAAGAGGGTAGATTTAGGTTAGATATTGGGAAGAAACTCTTTACTGTGAGGGCGGTGAGGCACTGGAACAGGTTGCCCAGAGAAGCTGTGGATGCCCCATCCCTGGAAGTGTTCAAGGTCAGGTTGGATGGGGCTTTGAGCAACCTGGTCTAGTGGAAGGTGTCCCTGCCCGTGGCAGGGGGGTTGGAACTAGATGATCTTTAAGTTCTCTTCCAAACCAAACCATTCAGTGGTTCTATGCTGTACTCATATTTTATCATAAGAAATTTGGACATAGTTAGAAGATGTAAGTCAGGTAGTCATTGTGTCAGATGATAAAATAAGGGACATTCTGGAGGGGAAAAAAGAAACAGCCTAGAACTGTGACTCATTACATATGCTTAACTTCTTCAACGGGAGTAATCAAGCCAGGTTGATCTTTACCCTTCTTTTTTCCCCTCCTTATTTTCCTACTGCTAATACTTTATCCCTGTCACCATTCATCCTTGGTAGTAAAAGAAGAATACAGTAAAGTTGCCATTTTCAGAGTTTTTTAATTTTAAAATTTACTTTAATTAGAGACAGAGTAGGACCACTTCTCAGGGCTTTTAAATTATCCAACCGAAAATATAGTAAGTTGAAATTAATGAATTTCAATTTAATTATGTATGTCCACATCATCCCAGCAAGTTCCAAAACCTTTTGTCTCACGACCTGTGATAGAAGCTTTGAGAGCAGGTCACAGTATATGCAGATGACTTTGCTTCCAGTGCCCTTGCAAATAACTGTTTTCACTTCCCACTAACCTGTAGCCCAAACTTGTAAATCTCATGCCAGTTTCGATAGACTTTCTTGTGATTTTGCTCTGGCAGATCTGGTTGGTATTTATTTAAAATGAAGCCTCTACAGAAATTCGTGTGTGGGAGGAAAGATTATTTACCCTGCAATGGGTATGCATTTTTACTAGGTGAATTACATGCGTAAACTCCAAGGCTCTCCTTTATGCTCTGCCAGTCAGAGTTCCTGAAACGAAGGAACATTAATGCTTGTTTCACTTCAGAAAGCATTTTGGCATCTTTAGATTAAATATGCCATCATCAAGGGAATAATGGTGGAAAACGATGAGAGTATTTGGAACTAGACAAACATTTGAAATTAGACTGATAATTAGGTATTTTTCTTTGTGAATTACGGGTTTATTAAAAATGTGAAGTGAATTCAATAAATAATTTGCTGCATCACTTGGTATACATATAAGATTTTAATCTTTTTCCCTTTGCAGTTAAGTTACCAACTTAAGGTGGGTATCATGTACTGCAAGGCCGGGCAAAGCACAGAAGAGGAAATGTATAATAATGAATCAGCGGGTCCAGCCTTTGAAGAGTTTCTTCAGCTGTTGGGAGAACGAGTTCGACTCAAGGGATTTGAAAAGTATCGTGCTCAGCTGGATACAAAGAGTAAGGCTTTTTCTTCCCTCCCCCCCCCCTTAAGTGAATAAAATGCATCATACGGTGGCTAACTGACTTTTTACTGAGAGTTCTTAAAAATAACCTCTTTGCTATAGGAAGGCAGTTGCTCGATATTAGAAGTCAAAGCAGAGCAAGTATGTAATTTAACCCATACCCATATGGTCTTTCAACTCTGATTATTCTTGGATTTTTGTACTAATTTGGTACGAAATTATGACTAAAGCTGCAACAAGAAACCAGTAATTATGGAACCATTATTGGCGTTGCAAATCCATCATCAGTGTGTTGTCGAAAGAGTAATCAATACAGTTGGTATGTCATAAATTTTTTAATGATATGCTAATGGACTGTCACCAAAAAAGTTTTGTGATCCCATCTATGTAACTCCACCTTGACAAGTTGATCTATTGCTTTTCTGCTGTGTCTGTTGCATGTAGTTTTTCTTCTAGGCAGTTTTGTCTTACTCCTGCTATCAAATGTATTCCTCCCTCTGGGATTTTTCTTTTGAGTTATGGAAATTAAACTGGATTTGGCAGTTATATTATCAGCTCTAACTGTAAAAAATATTGCAACAAAAATGCAGTGAAAAGGTGATTTTGAGTGACAGTATCTATAAAAGAAACTCCCTACTTTTGGAATGAAGCTTGTGAAATACCTGTTTATCAGCTAGTGCATGCTATATTCAATTTGTAAATCTATTTAAAAATACTCAGGGGGAAATTTTGTCCTGTCTTTCTTTTCTTTGAGTATTGGAACTAACCGGTTCCTATGGAAATCTTCTGCTATTTTGCTCACTTGCAGCAAAGGAAATGAAATAAGGAGTTGATTAATGAAAGCTGAAAAGCATTCATCAACTTCAGTGCAGCAAAAACTGTGCTCTTGTCATGAGTTTCCTATCACAAATACAGTAACTTGCTATGCTTTAGTGCTCCACTATTCTACCTTGTGTCCTCGATTCTTACAGGGATCACGTTGCCATCTCCTCAGGCTGTTCTTGCTCAGCCTAATCATCACTCCTCAGAGGGTTATAAAACTTCCTGTGGTTTTAAACCTAAATTAATACCTATTTCGCACACGTTTACCCTTGAGCCAGCTTTCTGTTAGTTGCAATACTTATATTCCCTCTGTTGTATTTACTCCCCTGAGTGCATTTACACATTGCAGTTGTGTCTCCTCTGTGCTTTTGTGATGTCACCCTTAATAAGCCAAGTCTCTCTTATTGGTATGGGAGGTGTGGATTTCTCTGCTTCCTCCCCACCTCCCCGATGCAGTATTATCTGGTAACCTTCCTATTCACTTGTCCAAGTTTGAATTTAGTCTCTTTAATTTTAGTGACTAGGATTATATACATGATTCCAGATGAGATCCAGGCAGTTTCTTGCTGTAACATTTCCTTGCCTTTACTGGAAATACATTACACAATAATTCTCAGGCTGGGTTTTCCTTTTCTGCAGCTCCAAAATGTTATTTTATCAGTTATAAAAATAAGCCAGGTCAAAAATCAAATGTGTATGGAAAACAGAAAATATTTGTTATATCATAGCTTCTGGTTTTATATTGTGACCTCCCTGTTGCTTTCAGTAGTTAAAGTAAGAACCTCTCTTCCCTTTCTTCTGGTTTAGTTATTTAAGACATCTGAAAAAAACCCCTTTTTTGGTGTCAGTCCACACACTGGTTTCTAGTACATGTAAATCCTGTATGATTTAAGAGTTGACTCATCTGCTCAGATATACCCAAGAAAGCTGTAACTGTGTCTTAAGTACTTGCTTGAAATTTTCTTCTAAACAGAATTTTTCAGTAATGTTTGAGTTCCTTCTTGTTGCTTCAGACTCTGGGAAAGAATTTTGTCAGGTTTTCATTTTATGTACTACAATCTAGCACCTGTTAAATGGACACGTATGTAAACTTTTAATTGACTGAATCTCTCTAGGTTTTAAGAGTTGTGTTCTTGTAATGAAGCTTTTCTACTCCGTGTTGAGAGCTGACATGTCTTTTTCACATTGCCCAGTAGACATACCAGCTCCATTCCGTATCTAAAAATATAAAAATCGAGAGGCTTTACATGAGCTCTTCACTGTTATCAGAGAGGAAGGGGGATCCTCTGAGTGGAAACTGCTACTTTCATGAAAGGGTTTCCTACATTTTCTTTTAGTCAGGGTTTACAAGCTCACATGCATGGGACCTCATCAGCTAAACTGCTTACGAACTCCTAAGTTGTCTGAAATGTTTCGGGTTATGTTGTCTGCAGGCTCACTGAGGGAACACGCAACTACACAGCATACATGAGTTCTTAGCGAGCAGATTTAGGCAGCAGAAAATGTGAACAATGGCAACAAACTTTTGTAATTTATCTTGATGGTGCTATGTTTTCCTTTCTGCCAGTATGCAAAGCACAGACTGGAAGTGGTGGAAGAGAAGGTGGTGTTTTGGGGGCACAACACTAAGATCTTCAGATAGCTACATTCGGAAACCCTTATTGCATGTTCTGCGTAGGAAATGGCAAAAAAAAAAGCCATCCTGTGGTAGGCAAAATGCTAAAGACCAGAGGTGGTCGCAAGAGCTGCATCTGAGATACGGGGAATGTGTGAACAGCAGAATACAGACAGGCAATACATCTTCGATAGCTACCCAAAGTAATCAATCAGTCTTTTCTGCCTTGGCTGTAACACAGAAAGGCCTGCAAAGGAGGAGGTTGTGGTTTTTGCCGTGACTTAGGTTAATAGGGTTTTGTTGAAACTGCTAGGTAGCGAGCTTCTCCCTTTTCCAGCTCTGCTTTTCTGTTGCTAGAGATCACTGTCATGAAATAGTTCTTGTGGTCTCATTACTCAGGAGATTTTCCTGCATAAAAATTCTGTTTGATGTAAGCACAGTTGATTGCAAAGATGCTCTTAAAAAAACTAATGTCTGTTCCTTAACTTGAAAGAAAGGTCTACTTTGCTAGTTCCTATACCTTTGATAATGCTTTGCAACCTATGAAAAGCAGGTGCATGATGTAAGACACAATGACAGATTTTCTCAGTGTGGAGGGAAGCTGATTTGTATATCTACTCTGGAAATCTTCACAAGAAGTTTTTAATTTATGCAAATTTAGAAAAGTAAAGTTGCTTTAGCAAAAGGCAGTTTCAGAACAGTTGTTGTTCTTAGAAATTTTTAGAATTAGGGGCCTAATTGGTAAGTATCCGTAACAGAGCCAATTTTTAAAAGGAGGAATCTCATGCATCCTATTAACTGAAAGCCTATTTAAGTATATTGGATCCTTCAAGGGCTTTAGTTTTGGATCCCTGCCAGCGCCACTGTGGAAAAGAGCTGCTACTTTAAAAGTTTTGTTTGTATATTTCTAGAATTACCAGAGGGGAAGCAGTCTATCTCCTGGCAGCCTGCAGACTTTGGATAGGAAATAGAGCTTGAAAATGACATCCGTCCCGTGGTTGCTAGGAAGTTTATGGGCATCACTTCAAAGTAATAAACATCACAGTAATCTTTCAAATTACAGCTTCAGTCATTTTACTTTATTTTCTAGTTGTAATGCATGCTTTACTTCCCCCCGCTTAGTCTCATTTCTCAGTGTTTTAAACTGGTAAACGGGATCAGCTGGATAATGCCAGGCCTAGTAAGCTGGTGTGTGTGTGCGTCCAGCAGGGTGGTGGTGTGGTTGGTGCAGGAAGTGAGGGAGATTGATTAATGTGAGTTGTAGGAGTTTGAACTACTTATTTGATGAGATTATAAACTTAGCGAATAATGGTAGGTTTCTGTATTAGATGTTTATACTGCATGACTTTTTGGTTAAGACATGAGAATAATATAAAAACAGCACAGAGATATTAAACAGATTAAAAATCTAGGGAATGAATGGACTTCAAATTGACATTTCATTTAGGGGTTGTCAATAAACCCCAATGTTTCTAATGAAATAATACAGATAGACTACCTTCTTAACTTGCACTATTTAACATCTTTTCAACCATGTGGAAGTAAGAGTGGACTTACTGTTGGGTCTGAGACATTCTCTGGGAGACCAATAACCAAAGGAAGTCAGAGGTTCCTTGACTGCTAAAGAAGCAGAAACAGGGATGGGGGGAAGTTCATTTGCATTTCTCCATGTTTGTGTTACACATATACTTTTGTATGTTACAAAAGAAAGGATTCTGTCCTCGGAAATAGTGTCTGAAAACGACTTGGATATTACAGAAGTTGAACATGAGGGCTTGGTGTAATCCTTGTGTGTAACAGAAGGGAGAGCAGGTTTGACAGGTGCTGAATTTGGGCCAGTAACGAGGAGAACCTAGAAATAAGGCAAGTCTTTTTAACAGCAAAGGTAAATGGGAACAACGTTAAACTCTGAAACTTCTTGTTCTTGTGCCTTTAATTGTGAGCACTGCTGCAGTTTGTAGCAATGGCTGTTCCTTCTCCTGCCTCATCGGTATCATTTATTTTTTGTTTTCCTACAATTCCTTGCAACATGTTTTCCTTTGAAACACTGAGTTAGTTTTCTACTTGTACTGGTTTTTATACAGTTTTCTAGAGCAGAGGTTTTAAAAACTGCTGTAGAAGCAGGCTGAAAAAGTCCTGGGGCTTCAGTGAGGTGAATTTATTGGCAGTTGGTGCTGTTGGTGTCAATCACACTTTTGAGCACTGTTGGTGTTGGAAAAAACATTTAAATGGGAGTCTGTTAAAACAGTCCTTGTGAAGATAGCTGAGAAACATTGGAAGGACAGAAGAATAAGGTGGATTTTAAAAGGTGATAATGATGGAAGGAAAAGAAGATCAGATAAGTCCTCAGCTAAGTAACCAAATCCAGTAATGGGACAAGACTGAGAAGGCAGTGCCAATAGGTATGCCATACACTGATGGCAGGAGGGGATGTCTTCAGTGTAAAAAGATCCCTCGAGCCTCTGTTAAATACAAGGAAATCAAAGTAGATTGCAGTGCTGGCTTACAGTTCTGACTTTGAAATGATGGGCTCAGTTTTGGGGCCGGTCCTGTTC